TCAGCGCGTGCCCTGGCAGCCCAAGCTGAGGATCTCAGAGCCAAGCTCAGTCCTAAATTTAACCAGGTCCAGAAACAGCAATTTTTTCAGCCAAACACATCAGGCTCCATTTGGTCCCATGTACCTAGGGTGAGGCCACCTGGAGTTGGGTAGTGCTTTCTCCCAGGCCCCTGCTGCCAGTATTTTGGCCACAGAGAAGCCTTCTCCCAGGAGAAAGGTGCTCCATCCTCACTTCATGGTTAGAATGCTCTCCTGAGAGGTGGGGTATCGCCTTGAAGGCTCTGTGTCTAAGGAACCACCCACTTCCCAGGCAGTGGGAACTGAAGGGAAGGCAAAATTAAGACCTCCTTCAAGCCTCATGACCAACGGCAGCCACCTTCAGGAAAGAGTTTGGGGTCATGATTTCCCTCCTGCTTCCTCAGTGAGGCACACAGTATTGCAGCGAGGGTGATGTTCTGCAGAGATGAGTACAGGACCAGAAGAAGTGCTTCTTTGCACTTGAGCTACCAAGTGACATTAAAACTACATAGACTCACCACTGTCACTCTCACATAAAACTCTTACAAACTAGCACAGACCTTTTCACTTGAAGAAATCAGGACAAGTCAACCTCAAACATCAACCCCCCTCCCCTAATGGCCTAATGGTTCTAGAGCACTGCCTTACTGTGAGAGCACCAAAAGTTGTGCCGAGTCTAGACCTGTTTGCATTCATTGTCACCAGGAGCTGGATTTTGTTTAATTCTTGTATGTACATTCGGGGCGGGGTGGGGAGGGAAGTGTAATTTTTCTGTATAATTGGGTGAAGAAATTTGCAAAGCCTTGGAAAACTAGTTGGGAAGCAACTTGGAATCACTTAGGGGTTTATATCCTAGACTTTGACGCAACTGCTTTTATTCGATTTAGTCAATCCCTTTCTAGATCAGCTGTTGAAAAGGGTGGAATTTTGTTATACAGACTTTTTTAGATGAAGTTGTCATACTACAGCACAGCAAAAGCTATCTTTGCCTCTGGAGGATCATACATATTTTGCAAAGCATGCAATTATTTCTTTTTCCTAAGGGCCACATTCACTAAAAATACGCTTATGCACTAGAGAGGAAAGTATGACTGATTACAGTATGAGTATTTACTTTTTACTCAGAGAGAAAACTCACAAGTGAAAACCTGCCTTGCACCCACAAATGGGAGATTTGACGACTGTAATGTCTACTGCAGGCCTTTACTTCACAGATCATCTTTAAAATGTGATGGACTTCTTGGTTTGGAGGCTCCTAGTAACATTCAGATGCTTGGGCCAGGCATCCTTCTCCCACTTCAAGACACAGCTAGCAAGCACAAGGTCCTAAGTGGGCAGGGAGGATTAGGAGAGGGAGTCAGAAATTAGCCTGAGACCTCACAGATTCACTGTGACTTTGCAGCTCCTTTCCCCTGGAAACTGAAAGAAAATTTGGCCACGCAGTCACCAGCAGTTCCTCCTAGGTGAAGCTCTTTATGCCTGTTGGGAGTTGTCCTCAGGGTCTGCATGGTTAACGCTGTGCCCCAATCTCTTAAAGAAACTGCATTCTCTGGCTGCATCTACGGGAGTATCTTGTATGCCATTTTTCCATGTGGGGAAAGAGGCTCTCAGGTGGCTCTCCAATCTAGAGTCTGGCTGCAGTATATGATACTATTTTTATTTTTAAAAGTAGTTCTCTGATCAAAAGGTCTTTCCCATACCGCGAGACTCTACAGTACAGCATGCAAGAGTGACTGCCTCTCATAGCCACATCTCAACTGCTCTATATAGCTGGCCAAGTGCTCTAGAAGTAGTAGGTCTGAGAGGAGACATTCTGTATCTGTATTCTGTATGGAATACACAAACCTTCTCATTCTCATGTAATTCTGAATGCAGTTTGGCTGTAGATTTATGTGGACCTCTATTTCTGTGTACACAGCAGGGATATGGATACGTATGTAAAGGGACCAAGAAAAGGCACAGCCAGACAAAGCTCTGTGGCTCTTCCACAGCCCCCTGCCACAGCAGAGGCAGCAGGATGTAGAGGCTCTGTGGTGCTGCACATGCAGTTCTGTGCCGTGAGTAGACTCACAGGGATGCACCACAGATGTTGCTGTTCCATTTCCAAAGCTGCTGAAATTTGCAAATTGAAGGTGGGATCCAGCCCTTAGGGGCAAGATGGGTTTCAGGTACCAAAGTCCCAGACAGCCATCTTGTCCACCACTGCCCTTCCATGGTTCTTTCTTCCCTCAATGAGAGAAGTAGGAACCTGTGTTAGTGGGATGGGTCTTGTCCTTCAGGTAGGTCTTCCGAACAAGTGTCCCTCCCTTAATTAGGCTGCAGTCAGGCTGCCTCTTGCCTCGTCTCCTCCCAGACGTGATGATGCCTATTTCCTAAATCTCCCTATAATTTTGGATGGGGGTATAAAGGGGAGGGAAATGTTAAGTCTGCATAAAAATGTTGCACTTCACTTCCTATGTAGTAAAAGTGGAAGATAATGAAGTGGTGTAAAGCTTTTCTTCTGTTCTCAAGATAAAGCAGTTAATGAGTATTAAAGAGTATAAAACCACTGTAGAGAAATGCCCTATACTGAGAGGGTATGAAGTGCATACAGCTTTAGTGAATCTGGTCCTAGGCAGCATAAGTTTTCATTAGCTGAAATCTCTTAACCTTTCCCGAAGATAATGAATTGTAAATAAAAGCCAAGTGGGACAGATTCTCAATTGCCTTGTACCTTGCTGTTGTACCAAGGGTGCAATACACATCGCTTTACATAGGGTTGAAAGGTCACGCAAGGAAAAAGACGAATCTGTCCCACTAGCTCACTGCTCCAAAAGAGTTTAAACTACATTTAAAAAACTGACACTCTTCTCTTCCTCACCCCCCACCCTTTGATTTTAACAGCACTCGCAAACAAAATTACATGATGAATTTTTCACGGCAACATGGGCTCAGGCATTTCTACAACAGAAGACGAAGGTCACTTAGACGATATCCATGAAGAAATGAGAAATTTATTTTTTTTCCTCCCAACATGTGATGTGTTGCTTTCCATTCTTTAAATCTAGCACTGCGTCTGGTATCAGGACTTTTCTGCAACTGGCTTGATGAATAACTGGAAGCCTTTCTCAAGACAGAGTGTACACCACTTTTTCGCACTGTGAACTAATGAGAAGTGACTTATTTTCTCATAGGTAAATGTTTTAATGTTGATGTGTCTGTGAAAATTGTGATCTGTTGTAATATCAGTTACAGTGGCAGTATTGGAAGTAAGCAACTAATTCTGTTTAACAGGAAAAAAAGTTTAAGCACAAAGACTTTTCAGATTTTATGTTTTAAAAAACCTACATACTAAGTACAGAATTTAACATTCTTTGTCACATAGGTATTTAAGTGCACTGTATTTCAGCTCTGTGTCATTTTATATGATTAAGTTATCATTGTTTGTCCTCTTTGTATTCTCTTCTACAACATGACACATTGGCACTGTATTTACTTGTTTTGTTGTTGTAATATTTTTGCTGCTGATTTTTGGGCTATTTACCTTCTGCCAACATGTATTAAAAAAAAAAAAAATCAAAGTACCTAATCAAGAAGATAATTGCAAAAGTAGTTGTAAAGGCGTTGATATCCTTCGGTCTTATTCTTTGATATGTCTGTTGGTTAGCATTGTTTTGTGGATAAAAAAGAATGCTTGACATTAAACTTTTTTCTACTAAGGAGCTGTGGATGAAGCCCCAAACAAAATTTCCCAATTCCCTGTCTAAATGTAGTCAGTTCTCTGCAACTGATTTACTTACAGTAACTGCCATTTGGTGTCTGTAGTAATGAAGTGATTTGTAAACAGTGAACGTTTCATCGTGTTCCCTTTGGTGTTTGTTTCTATTGCGGGTCATGTTTGTACCTTCTGATAAAGTTGTATCTACACCAGCAACGTTATAATGCCCCTATAGCCCTAAACTGTCTATTATCATAAATAAAATGCTTCACTTTATGGTGAACCAAGCTAAAGATCCATGCTTCAATAAAAATAATGTCAACAAACAATTCTGATGTTAGACTTTTCAAGCTATGCAGGCTCTACATGAAATCACAAACCAAATTCTTACACTAAATACCTAGATTCTAATGCAAACATCAATGGTATTTTCTAATACTTAGTATATGACACTTAACAGCACTTTGCAAATAACAGAAACCAACAGATCTTCCTAGTCCCACTTGTGGGCATAACACAGTTGTTAGAACAGGTCCTGGTGCAAGGAATGAAACAATGAGATGGGACCAAGGACCAAAACACACTTTCACTTGTCTTTATCTGCAAACCCAACATGCAATGTGCGAATCAGTGTTTCCAAGCTCTGAGGACTACAGTGCAGCACATAAGGAACCTGGTTCAAAACAAAGTTGCTAATTCTTAGAATCATAGAATTGTTTAGGTTGGAAAAGACCTTTAAAATCATTGAGTCCAACCATTAACCTAACACTGCCAAGTCCACCACTAAAACATGTCCCTAAGCACCACACCTACAGGTCTTTTAAATACCTCCAGGGATGGGGACTCGACCACTTCCCTGGGCAGTCTGTTCCAACGCTTGACAGCCCTTTCAGTGAAAAAATATTTCCTAATGACCAACCTAAACCTGCCCTGGCACAACTTGAGGCCATTTCCTCTTGTGCTATCACTTGTTACTTGGGAGAAGAAACCAACACCCACTTCACCACAGCCTCCTTTCAGGTAGGTGTAAAGGGTGATAAGGTCTCCCCTCAGCCTCCTCTTCTGCAGGATAAACAGCCCCAGCTCCCTCAGCCACTCCTCATCAGAGAGAGTTATCACAGATACCTGCTATGCTCTTCCATCACGTGCATCTGCTTCTGGCACCATATTGGTCAGACACCTAATATGTGCTTAAGAGGCTTTTGATCAAAGGTACCTGAGCAGTGCAAGAAAAAAGGAGGTTGTTTGGTGACCAACTAGTCAAAACCCTGGCTTGGTCAAAATTATGCAACAGACCTTTGACAGACCTGGAAACTTACTGCAACAGCCCAGCCTCCTGCAGCTGCAAACTCGCCTGTACTGTTCCAGAAAATGGTGTGTGTGCTTTCAATCCCTGAAACAAGATAAAGGAGCTATTCAGAGAAAGACCAAGAAGGAAAAAAAAAAAAAAAAAAAAAAAAAAGCTTATTAAAGAATATAATAACTTAGTGTTTGGGCAAGAGATTTGAAAATATTGTAATAAAAGTTTCGCCCACTGAACAAACAAAAATGCAAGATATAAACACTCCTATTTTTACAGATAATCTTATTTGCCCTAATATGTCAATATATGGGTTATATTTCAATCTAAAATGCGTGTGCAGCTAGTGTGTTGCTAGGGAATTCATTTATTTCAAAGACTTTAGATACAATGAGGCACTTAATCTGCCTTCTCTTTCCAGGTAAGAGACCAGCATAATCAGAGAAGCTGCTTTTCACAATTGTATTTATTTTCTTTGAGTAACGTATGTAATTATGACTACTGAGGAATCTCCCAAGGCATTTCACCAGAACTCACTACAAACTGAGCACAGGTCTTTCTCAAGAAAATCATCCCCACTGATTCCCAAGTGATGTTGCCATTTGCCCTTTCCAGATTCCGGGAAGTTCTTCCTTACATTTTTTCCATTCCTATAGCACACAAGACAGCGCACACATATGGCATGCTCTGTGTATGTACTGTTTTATTTTTCCTCCCACATGACTGAGAACAATGAGTCATCTGACATTAAATAGTTGTTAAAATAGCAAAGGTTGCGCAGCATATAACCAATGGTAATAAAACAGTGACAGTGCTATAAAATGTACTAATAAGCTTATCTACTGGTATAAAACTTTGGCAGGCATTACTAGGAAAACTGATGCTTTTAGTATGCCTTGTATCTTCCTTATTTCTCCTATCAGTTCAATAACCCATGTTCCAGTAAATAAGGAGAACATAAAAGAAATTAAATAAAATACAGGAAGATGAAGCTCTGACCTCCTGGAGTTCCTGGAACAACCAAAACCTGAAGTTCTCATAATCTTGCCTGAACGTTCTCTTGAGCTTGCTTCACCCACAGGTGATAAAATTACCTTACTGAGAGAAAATGAGTGTAGCACAAGTATTTTGAAGGACCAAATTAGGCTTTGCATGAACTCAACAATTTAGAGAAATGGGTAGAAATGAAATAACACATCAAATACACTCAAGGACAAGACATTGTCAAAGAGCAAGGTACCAGCACAAAAAGTGGGTAAATATCTGATTAGGCAGCAAAACTACAGGAAGAGAATCAACAGTGTAAAGCAGTTTAAGAAAAAAAATGCCATTTTGCATTATATCAATAGAAGTGTTTATGGTAAAACACAGTAAATATATATACAGTTGTCACTGCTGGTAAAATAGATGGCAGTTGTCAGCTGTTGAGCCCTTCACTTAAATACAGATGTAAACAAGCTGGAGAGATTGCAGAGTACAGCAGCAAAAACAAGACCCTTGAAAACATCAGCTTCCAAGTAGAGAGAGTTGGTTTGTTTAGTCTAGAAAGGAAAACATTTGGAAAGAGACATGACAACAGCTATAAACATGGATCTATGTTTTATTTACTTGCTAACCCTTGGGGGCAAATGTCACTGCTGCCACAGCATCACCTCATCACTTATCCATCAGTGGGGAATGGGGTTTGGAAATATCTCAAGCAGGAAGCTGGTGCGAGGCTCTGTAAGCCCTGCTGACGGATGCATAAAGAGCCACATGCAAGCAGCAAGATACAACAAATAAATCCCGCTCAATTCAGCTCTGTAGAGAGACTTAACTAAACGTGAGTCCAACAGTGGAGTGACAGGAACAAGCTAGCAGTAGAGGGATGCTACCTTAACCCTGAGCTGGTGAGGGAGCCTGAAAACCACATAAGATCAGCAAGAGGGCTTGCCTACCTTAAGCATCGGCCTAAAAACTCTTCAAGGGCTGTTAGCAATCTGGAGCGGCTGAGACCACGCAACCGCTTGCAGCACATCTCCTGTGAAGGAGCAGATGGAGCTCCTGCCATCTGCGGGTGGTGGATCTGCTCCTGGAAGAAAGAACAGTAGATATGAGGCTGCAAAGAGGCAGGCAGGTGGTATGTGGACAAGCTGTCCAGTGTTCTCCTGTGTTACTAATGTTTTATGACTGGTGCTTTTTACTTCCCCATATCTTCTCAATTCAGCTGAAGGGACCAACCTGGCAGCAAGCCTAAGGACTTAGGCCCATGCATGGCTGATTATCATGGAGCTTTATGAGGAGAGCTTGAGCTGGCACCCAGCAAGGAGGGGCCCAGTAAAAATGGTATTCCAGGGGTGGAGGAGTACGGTGTTGGAGCGCATTAACAAATTCTGGATTTATAATTTGAATCTGTATTTCTTTTGAAAGAAAACAAGTTTATTAAGCTTCTTCAGAAAAGAAAAAAAAAAAGAGGTTGTGGTTGTGCTTTTGAGCTGTGCTGCTCAAGGGAGGTCTTTGACAAAGTTAGTGGCAAAGAAGCCATTTCAGGGGGGCTCAGCTGCTTCCCTGAGTCCTGCTGGGACAAAGGTGGGACTGTGGGAGGTGCTGGGCAGCCACAGGTTTCGGGGCCACTTCTGCATCAGGATGCTATTGCTGATACCACGAGAGCTGGCTGATAGCCCCAGATCCCTCCTTCCCTGCACACGGACTGTGCGCATACACGCCAGCCTTCTGCTGATCAGGTGTGCTAGAAACAGCACGAGCAAAGCCATTCAGCCGGTTTATATTCATGACTGGACACCCAACTTAGCTCATTTCAAATCACAACCTTCTCAAGGGACATTTTAAAGGTTCTGAGTTCAACCACTTTCAAGGAACTTCTCAGGGTAAAAAGGAAAATGTCCTAATGTTTGGGCCTCTGCTAGAATAATTGTGCTATTATGGACAATAATAAAGCTTGACATGACTAATGTGTCTGTATAGGATGTGGGTAGTAACTAATTAACAGAAGCAATTTGAGAACCAAGCCAACTGCCACTGAACTCAGTGGGAAAATCCCTGTAAATCTAAACGCATTTCACATCGATCTGGAAATGTCCACCTCAACTTTACTAACTTGGCTGGTTTGACCCGCCCTAGGACTGGTGTAAGACTCTATGATCAAATATATTCAGGGTTTTTTTTCTGCCTTAGAAAGTTGTCTCATTATTAGAAGAACTCTTAGTTAGGGAGCGGCTGGGAGTGACCCAGTCAATGGAGCCCATCTGACCCAGTTTGCTAATTTAGGATGTCCCGTATGGGACATCCATGCCAATGATATCACCAGAAGCATCTGGAGTCTCCACGCTCCCCAGTGCCTCAGCTAGCTCCTGTGCCCATACTCACCATCAGTGGTTGCCTGAGCAAGTTGAGAACTAAACAGCCGAACAACTGGAGCTCTAACTGACTGTGAGTGCTGGATCTGGCCTTTGGTGGTGCCTCACAGCTTTCCTTATGCCGCTAGAGAGCCATGGCTCCTGCTGCTCCATCCCCTGTGAGCCAGACGAGCCCTCAGAGCTCACACAGGGCTCTCTGTCATCACACAACTCCAGTGGTGTGTGTGCCATTAATTAATTTCCCTCAATTATCCTCCACAGGAGTTTTTTTATTCTCTCCAATTGTCCACATTGTTTGTTCTGTATTAACTTCCCCTCCCTTTTTCTGTTTTGACCGAAAATCCTCTTTTCATCTCATTCCTACTGAGTTCAGCACTATATTAATCCCTGCCCTTCTCTCAGAGCTGAAGAACCAAAGCATCTTTTACCATTTTAGACAATGCTGGAAAGAAGCAATAAAAAAGAACTACGAACCTTCCCAGCGGGTCATGCCAGAATGTGCACAAGAAATTAAAACCAGCTTCAGTTTGTGTATTTCAATGCAACCATTGACACAATTAGTGTAACATAATCTACAATGTGGATTACTGTAACATGCAAAATGATTTATACCTTTGTGGATTTTTGTAGCAGGAAATCAGCTATTCCCGTGGTTTTTTCAGGCTTTCTCCTCTACCTCCTCTTTGTGCAGGGTGTATAAGCCCAGCTCTGGCTGCGGTACGTTACTGCAAGATGTGCTTCACTGGTAATAAAGCATTTCAGAATTTCAGTACATCAGTGGTGACTCAACACCTTCATAAGGTCATTAATTCTAACACAAGCTACAGGCACTCAAGTTCAGAAAAAAACAGCCTTTTGGATAAATAAGTATGAATAAAAAAAGATCTCTTTCCCAAAGTATCTTTACCCAGTTCTGTGTAACATTGGCATCCAGCACCATTCCACATGAATTTTGATGCATGTGGCGTATCTAATCTATCACTCTGAAACTGTCCATCAAAATGCCTTTTTGTTGCAGCCTATTTTGGAAAAAAACCCAGTTATAACAAAACTCTTATTTAGAATGCAACTTTTGAAATGTTTTGACCTTGACATTTACCAGTTTGAGGACACTGAAATTTAAAGTACTGTATTTCAGCTTGAATTAACTTAAATTTTATTTAAGTTACTCTTAAACTCTAACAAGGGCTAACGTGCCAAGGAATCATTTTAAGGTTTCAAAATAATACATTCCAGTAGACACTAGTTTTACAACTTTTTTCATGGTCTCCGTGCGTAAGATTTTCAAAAATGTTTTTTTTTCCTACCAGTTCTAGATGCAGCCCCAAATTTCTAAGGATCCAAGAGGCGGGAAAACATTTTCTCCTGGGCAAGAGAGAGCTATCGTTATGTTGGAAAATATTTATATATCGAGGGCTGAAAGATGAGCTCCGTGAATATATTTCACTACTAATTCCTGCATATTCACGAGCCAATTGATGGCTACGCATCCTTTGCATCCCTACATAAGTAAGAAACTACACCCCGTCACTGTGAGACCAACTGAGGCCCAGGCTGACAAGTGTCTTTCTCAGACAGCAGAGGTGGCAAAAATGCACTCATTACAAAAGAAGAAACGTAATTGTTAAGTAAGTCTCTTGAAGTGTTCAGTCAACATGAAGTCCTTCAGAAATTTGTATTTTCGCATTCATTTACCTGACTGGCACAAGTCCATGCCCGACGCCTGGCATACATGCTACATTTCTTAAAGGACCGAGCATTGCAGTCTGCTTTTTGAAATCGATTTTAGATAACAAATCCCAAGGCTCCTCCACCGGAATTTCGGGATAACGCAAGAGGGGTTTGTTTAACAACCACCACCGCGTACCCCAGCTCCGAGCTCAAAACCAGCCCAGGCCACGTCCTGCGTACGGCATCACCGCCAGCCAGCGCCCACCCCACGCTCCCCGCGTGCGTTTTTGTATTTAAATTAGAAATAAATTATAATTCTGTATTTTGTGTGCGTGTGTATCCGAAAGGGAGGGCTGGGGTGACACCCCAGCGACCGCCAGGGTAGCGCGCAGGCCGGAGGCCGCTGCC